CTCTCTTTCCCTCTCCCTCTCCCAACCCCCTGTCTCTCCACTCTCTCTCTCTTCCCCCCGTCTCTCTCTCCTCCGCCCTCTCTCTCTCCCCTCCCCCACCCTCTCTCTCTCTAGACTCTAGACTCACCACTATCGTCCGGGTCTTGCCTCGGTGACGTCACAGCGCTGGTGCAAGGCGTGGAGTACTCGTCCAGAACCATGTCCAGGAGCTGCACGTATTCCGCTGACCCTCTCAGTGGGGCATGCTCGTCTTGATCCGGCCTAAGAGGATCAAACATCGTGTTAGTAAGAGTATTACGATATTTGCATCACAAGTAGGTCATATAAGTACCGATCTTTTAGTAAGGGTTTTACGATATTTGCATCACAAGTAGGACACATGAATGCAGATGTTTTAGTTAGAGTTTTATGGCATTCGTAACAGAGATAGTCATATAAGTGCCGAAGGTTAGAGGTATGACTAGAGAGTAACATACAAAAACAAAAGAAGGAAAGATAAGAACGATATATTTTTTATAGGAAAAAAGTAGCGAGCTGCATCAGAGCATCATCCGCAATCCACCCATAATAAAAGAGCAAATAAATGCCAAAATAAACAGAAAAACACTTAAATAAACGAATAAGTCCAAAAATACTGACAGAAAAGTTGAGAAAAGCTACCTTCGGATCATCTCCTGCTCCTGTCTGTCTCTGTCCAGCCCCGTCAGATACGCCAGCGTCTGGTCAGTCTGTCTCTGGAACTGGTCAACAGACTCGCAAAGCTGTGCCAGGGAAGAGCTGTAGTGCTGACGCAGCATTTTTCTCTCCTCCAACTTTTCTCGGGCAAGGAACCTTCGAACGGCTGTGAGAAAATGATAAATCCAATGTTATTTTGTTGTTGTTGTTGGGTTTTTTTCTCCTTTTTTTCTTTCTCGAAAACAACTTCTTTTTTAATTAGATCACAGACCAGCGAAAGTTTTTACTTCTTCCAGTGAAAATGCACGCGCGTGCAAATACACACACACACACACACACACACACACACACACACACACACATACACACACACACATACACACACACACATTCACACACCCGCGCACACAGTCATCCTTGTTTAAAGTAAGGGACACAACCAACGAAATTTAGAAAGAAAAACACAAGTCAACATTAATCATGCCCCTTTATACGCCAATCTAGAAAGAACCTGGCTCGGTTTCAGCTGTATTTTTACGGCACATGTGACAAATGTGAAGCATATGTGTTTAAGATTTTTAAGTAGGAGTTTTAGGGTATTTGCAAAACAATTGGATCATAATGAGTACTGAAGATTAGAGTTGTTAAAAGAATGAAACAAACACAATATAGAATGAGATGAGATGAGGACGACAGGTGTTTGATAGGAAAGAAGAAACAAACCACACTAGAGCACTCACCAATAACCCTTGCTTAAGATTAGAGGTGCTCTTACTAGATTGTAACATGTAAACTAAAGAAGCAGGAACGATGAGGACGGTAGAATATACTTGATGGGAAAGAAGAGGCACATCCATGTTACCTCTTATCCCATTCAAGATCTTAAAAACAAAACATCCTAAAAAAAAGCTAGATACGTTATGAGGAGCGAGAAAAAGACAATGACCAACAAAAATTAGGAAGAACTACAATATTAAATGAACCAGTGCCAAAAAGAGTGTTTTACTGGATGAGGCAAATTGATACGTTTTGAGGAGCAAGGAAAGGACACAGGACAACAAGAAATAGAAGAAATTCCATGACAAGAGTACCAGTACGAAATAGGAGAGGATACATTTGTCTGACTGAAACAGGCAGACGTTCAAAAGAACGAGAATAAGACTAAATCCTGCAAGACGGCGTATCAGTCTGCCATCCTCGTCACCGACTTGATGAGTACACTCGAAACAGTGAAGAAACACACGTTGCATGCAGACTGGCGAGAGGTAATGCTAAGCAGCAGACCCACAAGGATTATATGGATCTTAAGCCCTGGTCATGCAGGAGTTCAAGGCAATGAACGTGCTGATAGGCTTGCCGGCCAGGCTGAGATTGGCGGCACAATGCAATAAGATCCACCAACAGTCATGGCAGATTTGACAGCATGGTTCAACGACCACAGAGAGGATGAAAGCACCACTTCACACACAATGGATATACAAAGGGAAGCTGGTGTCTCTAGAGGGTCGGGGAGAGACAGTAACCGGCGTGGAAAAGCCAGAAGAATACCCAACCAGCTGCTAACTCGCACGATCAGCAGGCGGACCCTTTCATTGATCCTGGAGAGGAGGGAGGAGCAGCTATGGCATTATGCCGCCTGCAATGCTGCCTATTCTCCAACCAAGTAAGCAAGTAAGACGTGGGAAGGAATGCAGTGTCAGTTGTACCAGTCTGATGTACCAAATGAGCGATTCACCAAAAAACAGAGGATACATTTGGAGGAACGAGAATAAGACAAAGACTAATGATCTGAACTACGAAAAGAGGGACTGACCTGAACGAAACAAGTACGAAGCTAAGTTCGGGGGAACGAGAATATAATAAAGACCCAATGGAAACCGAGAAATTTAAAACTATATCAATAATTGTACCAGTCCAAATCAAGAAAAGAGGGGTTTACCTGACTTAAACCAATAGATATTCGGAGAAACGAGAATGAGACAAAGAGCAAAAAGAATATAATGAAATTCAATACAATTTGAACTATACCAGACCGAGGTATGAAATGCGGGATTTACCTGGCCGAAACAAGGTAACAATTAGGAGGAACAAAAATAAGATGAAGATCAAAGAAAAAGGAAGATAATACAATACCAAGAGTACCAGATCGAAGTATAAAATACGTGATTTACCAGATTGAGCCAGGATCACCTTTCTGAGAGAAGTCTGCTCAAGGACGTCCAGGTGAAGGACCTCGTTTTGACGAAGGAATATCTTTGTTTGTCCCACCTGAGGAGGATAGACATGCTAATTTCGACAACTCTGAAGGGATTGTGGATGTTCTCAGATTAGTACTCATGCTAGTTTTCTTCTTCTTCTCCTCCTCCTTCTCCTCCTCCTCCTCCTTCTTCTTCTTCTTCTTCTTCTTTTTCTTCTTCTTCTTCTTCTTCTTCTTCTTCTTCTTCT